TCGTATGCCTGTCGAGAAAGTTGGGGTGTCGCCTGCGGGAACGGTGGCAGAAGTCGGGCCTTTGTAGTCCGGGGTGGGACGAGGCGCGACCGCGCCACCGCGGTACCTGCATTGGGATGGCGCCGGCGCTAACCGTGGGCGTCCATGCGGGTTCCTTGTGCGTTGGCGGCCCGGGAGAGGAAGCCCTTCGAATTTTCCCAGGCGGTGCTGATGGGAAAAGTTAGTCGCCTGACCGGTGTGGGCTGCTCTGGGCTGAATCCAAGTGTCGCCATTTTGTCTTTTCCACGCGGTTTATAATGACGGTTTTAATTAGGTTCTGCCGCAGTCGCGCAGTGTTGAGAGTTAGAGTGTGCACCTCCACGGTCCGTTATTTAACGCGAAACGATGCTGACAAGCTTTTCTTTCTTAGTCGGACAGTAATCTAGGCGGGATGGGGGTTGCTGAAGAAGAGGCATAAGTCGCCTCGAACTTCGGGTTTCTGGTTAGGTGTACTAGGGCATCCTGATGAGGAAACGAGTTTTTCAAAGACGGGTAGGTGTGGAGGTCTGGCGTCTAACCTGTGACCTTGAATGGGTCGGTGGGGTGCGCTTTATAAGCCTTATGATGCGGGGCGGTGATCTGTAAATCTTGAAAGGGCAGCTGAAACACAGAATTAGAACCAAAATTTGCTTTTTCAAATGTTGAGTAGCTGTTGATTTAAAACAGCCAAGGGGGATTAAAGGGTAATGGGTGAAAGAAATTGGCCCTTTTAAAGCCAGTTTAATGTAAATTGCCCTACTGCTAAACTAATAAATCTAAATTGGTTTCCTGCTGTGGCCTAGGCATAGAAGATTGCTGTCTTTAGTTTCTAAAGAATAAATATTTTAGTAAAACATAAACTACAACACAATAAATGTATGCTATAAACCTGAAGGTTTTTTTTTAAAAAAGGAGATTCTGTTGTTTTCCAACAGATTATTACTGGGGGAGAAAAATGGTTGAAGCAGATCGCCCAGGAAAGCTCTTCATTGGTGGGCTTAATACAGAAACCAATGAGAAAGCCCTTGAAGCTGTATTTGGCAAATATGGACGAATAGTGGAAGGTGAGTTATTTATTTTACAGTACAAACTGGGCTATTAAGATTGAAAGATAAGCTGTGATGAATTTGATTACACTGATCATCTGACATGATAATGTATTTTGTCCTCTAAGAAGTTCTGAGCTTTCTCTCCATATCTTGCTAGTCTCTTGTTCTGTTATTTGAATTAGAGTAACACATTTTTCTTGAAAACTGCTTTTAGTACTCTTGATGAAAGACCGTGAAACCAACAAATCAAGAGGTTTTGCTTTTGTCACCTTTGAAAGTCCAGCAGATGCAAAGGATGCAGCCAGAGACATGAATGGAAAGGTGAGATAGTCTCAACAATGTAGGGTACCATGTTCTGTCGTGCATAAGATAGTGTGACTTACTGAACTCTGGTGCCAGGGCAGTTCTTGAGTTTTAATTGTTTTGGAGTATGTATACCCTTACATCTCCATGATCCTCAGCCCTTTGTAGTTCTATTCCAAATATCCTGCAGTTGCAGGGCTAAATTTTGTCGCCTTAAGAGTCTCAGTTCAAAGTATTATATTACATGAGGTATTTTATCTTGGGAACCATAAACCATAATATGATGGCTTGACTCTTTATCTTTAGTTATTACTTTTGGTAGCAACCTGATACCTCCTTGTTCTTGGTTTAAATTTAATAGTGATACAGTGGATTCATTCACCTTCTGTTTTGATTCAGATCATCAGTATCATTCTTTTTTAATTAAACTTTATTGTATTTATTTTATTAATTTAAATTTGACCAAAGAGGAGCAGAGTGATGGAGGGGATAGTGAGAATGCAAGACACTAGGTCCAGGACTTGAACTGTGGTTGGCCATGAGGGAGTCCAGTGCCCTTAACCACCACACCACCTGCTGGCCCCTGTCAGTATCATTCTTAAAGAATTTTAAGTAAATGGGAAAGTCCCAATAACGGAAGTGCTGGCTATATGTAGCATTTTTTTGCATAGTGAATCCGTAAGTCCTTTTTAAATCTTGATATAATTCAACTGTTTATTTTTACATATTCATTTAGTCTCTAGATGGAAAAGCCATCAAGGTGGAACAAGCCACTAAACCATCATTTGAAAGTGGTAGACATGGACCACCTCCACCTCCAAGAAGCAGAGGCCCTCCCAGAGGCCTTAGAGGAGGGCGAGGAGGAAGTGGAGGAACCAGGGGACCTCCTTCCCGTGGAGGGCACATGGGTAATAACTAGAGTGGACCTTGGGGTTATATGTTAGGACCTGCAAGCTTACTCACATATGCTTTGGTTAAGTGCTTGAATTAAAGGCTGCAGCTTTAACATTGAGAACACTTGTGCAGCTGCCAAAGTGGTGATAACTTAGAATGGAAACAAAGACAGCAGCCTAAGTTAACAGTGACAATGAAATGGAATGCTACCAAGTAGTTCCTTCTGTTTATCAAAACAATTAGTTTATCTTTAACAGGCATAGCGTTCAACTTAGGAAGATGAAACAATTTTTACATATTTTTTGTAACAGATTCAAGGCCCTTCAGTCTTTATTCCTTCAGTCTTCTTTTTTCTTTTTTTTTGTGGAGAGGTTTTTGCTATAGGGTGCATGCACTTGCCAGAAAGACAGACAGAGAGATAAAAAGCAAGAAATCACCCTCCAGGAGTGATGGCCATGCTGCAATCCATTCTCCTCTCTGGGATCTTGGGCACGCTCGCATATGCGCCCGGCGGGAGTTTAAGCCACTGGGTCCGGGACTTGAACCACGGCCGGTTACATGGGAGTTCAGCGACATAGCCATTACACTAACTGCTGGTCCCTGTTTGACTGTTCTAACACTGGTTTTGTACAGTAGAAGCGAAAACTAGGCCCCCTAAATACAAGTGGTCATATTTTTGACCAAGGAAGGAAAACTTACAGCTTTCTCACTTCTTGTGTTAATACATTTTTCTTTTCTATTCTAATGTAGATGATGGTGGCTATTCCATGAATTTTAACATGAGTTCTTCCAGGGGACCACTTCCAGTAAAAAGAGGGCCACCACCACGAAGTGGGGGTCCTCCTCCTAAAAGATCAGCCCCATCAGGACCAGTTCGCAGCAGCAGTGGAATGGGAGGAAGAGGTAAATAATTCTCTGTATAACGTAATCTGTGCTATCACCATAACACAAGGAATCGAGAGCTGAATTCTAAGAAACTGTAAAATTTGACTCATAGACTCTAGGTAATCTCATGCACTTGAGCAGTAGGAAGAATTTAGATGTGAATGTGATATAAAAGTGTTGATCAAGCTGCTTGTTGAGTTAGAATCACTACTTTTCATAGCCTGATGTAGGCTTGCCTTTTGACTTTTTCTTTGGCTGTGTTTTAAAAATTTTATTGTTTTTCCTTAAGCCCCTGTATCACGTGGAAGAGATAGTTATGGAGGCCCACCTCGAAGGGAGCCCTTGCCCTCTCGTAGAGATGTTTATTTGTCCCCAAGAGATGATGGATATTCTACAAAAGACAGGTAACAGAAAAGTGCAACTTTTAACTAATGTGGTTGAAGGTGAACTCATCAAAGGCATGAATGAACCAAATTATTTTTGTTTCTGTAGCTATTCAAGCAGAGATTACCCAAGTTCTCGTGATACAAGAGATTATGCACCACCACCAAGAGATTATACTTACCGTGATTATGGTCATTCCAGTTCACGTGATGACTATCCATCAAGAGGCTATAGGTAAGTGACTGCTTCCATGGCTTGCTTGTCAAAAGAAAAAAGTTGCTCTAAAACTCGATGATCTGATACTTAGAGGTTTTTCTTTCTTTAGTGACAGAGATGGTTATGGTCGTGATCGTGATTATTCAGATCATCCAAGTGGAGGTTCCTACAGAGATTCATATGAGAGTTATGGTAAGATACTGGTTAAGGATCTTGATTATCACCAGCTTGAGTTTTTAGGTTCATGAAGCCAGTTTATTAGGCTGCGTGGTGCTTGCTTTAAAGGGATGTTTGCTTGCTTTTAAAGGGGTAACTTTATCAGCTGGGCTTTTCCTAGTTTTGTGAGGGGCTTTTGTTTTTTCTAAGTTTTTTTTTGAGGCTGTTTGCTTGCTTTGGAGGGGATTTTGCTTGCTTAAATTGGCAGCCTTATGTGTTTTCCCCCAGCAGTGAAAATACAATTTAAAAGTTTTATTAACAAGATCAAATGTTTACCATTGCAATATGAAGGAAAGTCTACAGTTCAAAATTGCAACTTATCACTGGAAAGAGGCTGAGTGTCTACTATAAAATAACAAGCTGTCTGGAATATCCTCTTGAAATACACACCGTCTTCAGTCTTTTCAAACAAACGTTAAAATCAATCCATTTCCATATCTCAGCAGATGAGCAAATCCCTGTTATGGCCAGCAATGGCAAAGTTTAAACCTCCCAGTTGAGAAAGTAAACTTTTAATACAAGAATTCTGTAAATTCAGATTTAAATGTTGTATATATACAATTTATAGTGTTGCCATATTACCTGACCATTGACCCTGCAGGTAACTCACGTAGTGCTCCACCTACACGAGGGCCCCCGCCATCTTATGGTGGAAGCAGTCGCTATGATGATTACAGCAGCTCACGTGACGGATATGGTGGAAGTCGAGACAGTTACTCAAGCAGCCAAAGTGATCTCTACTCCAGTTAGTGTGATCGGGTTGGCAGACAAGAAAGAGGGCTTCCCCCATCTATGGAAAGGGGGTGCCCTCCTCCACGTGATTCCTACAGCAGTTCAAGCCACAGGGCACCAAGAGGTGGTAGCCATGGAGGAAGCTGATCTGATAGAGGGGGAGGTAGAAACAGATATTAGAAACAAACAAAACTTTGCACCAAAAACCCTGTTCAAAGAAACAAAGTGGAAACTATTCTGTCATAACTTTCCAAGGACTACTAAAAGGAAAATTGTGTTACCATTTTAAATTTCCTGTTAAGTTTCCCTCCATAATTTTCATGTTCTTGTGAGGAAAAAAGATTAAAACATGTTTAATTTTATTTGATTTTATGACATTGCTTCCAACAAGCAAATGTTAAATGTGTAAGACTTGACTTGTTGTACTAGTGTTGTAATTTTCCAAGTGTCCCTAAAGGCCACTTCCTATCATTTTTCCCAGTAAATGAGGCAAGCAGTTCTAAGATCTTCCACAAACATCTAGCCATCTAAAATGGAGAGATGAATCATTCTACCTATACAAACAAGCTAGCTGTTAGAGGGTGGTCGGGGTATGCTACTCATAGGATTTCAGGGTGTCTTCAAACTGAAATCTCAATGTTCTCAATAAGAAAAACCGGAGGTCAGATGCCTATGTAAGGAAAGTGCTATTCACCCAGTAAACCCAAAACAGATGGATAATGCTGGCCATATTTTGCCTTTCTGACATTTCCTTGGGAATCTGCAAGAACCTCCCCTTTCCCTTCCCCCAGTAAGACCATTTAAGTGTGTGTTAAACAACTACAGAATACTAAATAAAAAGTTTGGCCAAAACCAACCATGAAGCTGCAAACGATGCTTGCTCTTACTGTTTCAAATTTTTGCAACTCTGTAGTGTCTCACTTTTAAAGGAACAGCTTGATTGCAAAGGAGAAAATAGATAAGCAATGAAGTTATCTCCAACTTCCTAAAGGCTTATGACTTCTAAAAAGTGAATCTATCAGCATTCCACATCAGATTTAAAGCATCAAATGCCTGTGAAACAGCAAAGATGGTAAGCAAAGCAAACTAGTTTTTTCGTCTAAGTCGAAATTGAACACTTACCTTCCTCATAGTACAGTGAAACATACTGTACCTCATGGCAATGGAAATGCCTTCTAGATTTTATAAAAAAAAAAAAAACTTTTGGAAAAGCAAATATTCAATAGCATATTAGAAGTCCTCCAAATTCAACACTTGGATTTTTTTTTTTTTTAAAGCATGTATGACACTTAAAGGCCTTAATAATACAGCTGTTGTTCATCAATAGCAATTTGGGGCTTGGGAGGGGGTATCTTTTTTTTTCTTTTTCTTTTTTTTTCCTTTTTAAAGTATTTTTGATGAAGACCTTTAAACATGCTTATGTTTTAACTTTTTTTTTTTCAAATTAGCCTTTTAGTCAATATAGGAAATGGCTTACGTTTGGGGTCCCCCTCTTGGCCCCTGTAAGCCATTGCAAACTTTGACATTTAGTTGGATGCCTGACTTGTTTTTAGTTCTATGAAACTACACTGTATGGAGAAAATCTATTGCAAGTGGTCTTTAAAAAAGCAAAACCTGAGGCAGCATGACCCAGGTCCAGCCATGAAGTTGAAAAAGATGCTCTTGAATATAGTAAACTTGAAGACCTCCAACTAAAAATCCTTATACTGCACTTATTCCTTCAAATAAGTTTTGTCCGTTCAACTTATGGATTTAACATGGCAGTGCACCATTGGAACAGAATGAGAATCCATAAGCCATGCAACTTAACCATTTAAGCCATTCCAGTCCATCCCAAGCCAGTGAATCTTCCACCACTTAAGAGAAGTAGTAGGACATGAAATACATTAAGCTGCAAGTCTGAACTTGCCTTTTCTTTCTGGAAAAGAGGGCAGTTATAGGCACATTTTAAAGAATTTCCTTAAGATAACTAGTTTTTATCTAATTTTTACAGGTCGAGAATTGGTCATTATGGTCGTGGAGTGCTGATATATTCACAGTAGATTAAAGCTGGCAGCAAAATAAATCACATGCTAAGGTAAGTTTTGGAAGCAGTACCCTTTATTTAGCCATGATGGCATTGCTGCTAATCCTTGTTTAATTTGCAAGGGGGCCATCACCTAACTTTTGAAAATGAATGAAATTAAGTGCCTCAGTGTGTAACAACTGGCATATCTGTTTTTTAATGTAGGCATATAGGTAGATTTCCAGTATTGTGGCTTGGTTATGCAATATTGTTAAGCCTATTTTTGGGAGGGAGTGAGAAGTATTTTTGAGAGGGCCTCACAGTGTTGAAATCCTCTGCCCCAGTCTCAGGATTGTAGGCCTGTGCTATAGGTAGGATCTGGCCTGCTTTTGTTTTTGTTGTTTTCCCCAGAGGGCTTCTCTACTGGCAGCAGAGAGAAGGAAAGTGAGAAAGCATCACCAGCCCCTGGCCCCCAGGGGAATAGTTAAAGCTCAAACTTGATCTCTTGCATTTTCTAAAAAAAAAAAGAAAAGAAAAGAAAATACAACTTGTTACTACCGGTGCCTGCATATTTGTGCAGCCACAATACAGACTGACTAAACTTACTGTTAAATAATGTAGCTGCTACTGCATGTTCCCAGTTTGAGTAACATTTTTTTGGCATTATGATAATTTTAATACTCATCAGGCTAATGTTTACAGTGATTGTAATGGGTATTTATGATTGTTTTAAGAGGTTTTTTTGTTTTTGTGGGATTGAGTTTTTTGCTATAGGGCGTGTGTGCTCACCAGAAAGACAGAGACAGAGAAATCACACCCTGGGGTTTATGCCATGCCACAATCCCTTCTCTATTCTCCTTCGGGATCTTGGGCACATATGCACAAACGGCCTGGCATGAGTTTAAGCCACCGGGTTTGGGACTTGAACCTTGGTCGGCTGTGTGGGAGTTCATGGTCAAAGCCATTAATGCTAACTGCTGGTCCCAAGAATTTTTACTTTTTGAAAGATTTTTTGCTATATGATGTATGCACTCTCCAGAGACAGACGGCCATCCCCCCCCAGGGGGGGGTATTTCTATGCCACAGTCTTTTCTCTATTCTTGAGATTTTGGGCATGCATGCACACTCACCCAGTGTTAGTTTTAAGCCTGAGTCCAGGATTTGAACCACGGTCTACAACATGGGAGTTCAGTGATGTAACCATTACACCATATGCTGTCCCCATGAATTTTTACTTTAAAACAAATAACTTATTAAGGTAAAAAATATATATATAAAGAATAGGTGAATGGGAAAGAATACTTGGTATAAAATAAATACCTTGTAACCTGATACCCTGCTTTTTATTTTACAGAGTTGTTGAAGCAGAAGAATGCTAATTGTTGATAAGTTACAACAGTTGCATAAGCAGTGTTCATCAGGATTGGTTGGGTTGCAGGCAATAGAGTTTGCCTTCATGGGATCGTGTGGATCTGAGGGGAAGGCATTAGTGTTGATTAACTAACACTCTTAACTAGGGAATGGTATTGGCTTAATAATTTGGCCAAAGGAGAAAGGGAGATAATTAAGGAAATTGGTAAGTGGAGGTAGTCAGGAAGTTCTTGTGGTCCTTTAAGTAGATCTTACAACTTCTGGCTTTCATTGTGTTTAGCTAAAGTCTTGGGGCAACTCCCATTTAGTACTTCTTAATTATCATTGAATATCAGGGAACTGATTGGAAAGATGGTTGGCTTAAGTGATAACTGTCCAGCAAAGTGTCCAGCAAGCGAAATTTTTGGTGTTAGCTCATTCAGAAATGGGGTTTACTGGTAAAACCAAAGCTGAAGGGAATAGCGATACTGGAAACTGTGGTAAGATATCAAAAGCACACTTGAAAGTGGTAACAAAATTAGGACAATTGGGTGTTTTTTGTTTTGTTTTGTTTTGTTTTGTTTTTAACTGTTTTGTGCGATTACTCCCACCTCCCTAGCATGGAAAAAAGACCATTAGTGCTTTGGAAATTAGAGCCAATAGTATAAATACTAATGTTCTCAAAGGAAACAGGAGTGTTGGGTTATAGGAACTAATGCAACATCTGAGGATTTTTTGCTTAGTGAATGTAGCACTACTACTGTGTTTAGCATTTGTCGTTGGGAAAAATAGCCCAAAATTTTAACCCTCAATTGACAGACTTCTAATAACAAACTGTGAGGGTATTGCCCAAACTTAAAGTTAACTGTCTTAGCACAGATCTTCCATAGTCTGATTACTTGGATTAATGTTTCTGAGGACTTTTTGGCTCTTAAGATTATATCTTGATATCTTAAAGATAATGTGGACTATAGAGATTAATCAGTCAATCTGAATACTAAATTTAAAGAAGTATGCCTAAACAACCATACACCTATTTGACAAGTAGTTTACTGGCCCAGCAGACTTAATTCTGCTCCTATTGGAAAAAGAATCTACATTGATTCTCTGACTTTATACTGATTGTAAAAAACAGAATGACGTAGAAAATGCTTTTCTTGTTTAACTGGTAATTGAACATAGGACATAGGTATCCTAGATCGCTTTTCACTTTTTGGAATGTTTTGTATTAAAACTTAATAAAACTTGAAAATGCATATTTTTGTGGCAATGGACTCATTTTTTAACCTGGGGATTGATTTAGGCTATTAATCAGTTTTCATGTAGCCCTCTTTCCCCAAACACTAGCTCTGACGCACTGTTGATACCTGATCAGTTGCAAGGGAATGCCCCAAGTCAGTGAAGCAGCCTGTTCCTCTAACTAGGCTCCCCTTATTTGGGAGTGAGCTTCAGATACACAAAGTAAAATGGATTAATTTAATTTGCACCCAAGATACTGGAGCAATCAAATAGAAGAACTGGAAGCTAAAATACTAAAAATTAAAGTAACATTTCTATTTCCTGTTAAGCTCTTGGGGGGGAAATGAACTTCAGTCGTGCAGTGACTTTCAAGTACTTTGGGCAAAGTTTTCTCAGCGATGGGTTTAAACCCGACATGTGCTTCTTTATTTAGTTTTTTCATTATCTATTCTGTATGCACCTTATTTACAACTGGATTCAGTATAGCTCAGCATTAAGGTGGCAGAGAAAACCTTTATTCTGTGAATAGCTTCAACTCTTAAACTAGTTGTAGAAAGTCTATCCCCATCAGTTCATACAAACCATACACTGCTATCCTGAAAAATCCTTGTAAAGCTTGTTATCGGTGACAAGTTCTGTATTAGGATTTTTAAGGTAAAATTTGAGTCAGATTCCATTACTGTGTCATTCTAAGACCTGTGATAAATTGGTGTACTCTATTAGGGAATTCTGTCCTTAAACTCCAGGGTACCTTGTGGCCCTTGTCAGAGATTTCCTGCCCTCTATAGCCATGAATATATCAGGAGCCCTTTTCTCATTGCTGTGTACCAATATAGTAGGGCTTACCTTTGGATGGAGTCCTGGGCATTCTCATTTTGGGCCTATTATGGTTAAAGTTGCACTGAGATTTTTAAAGAATTGCTTGATTTTGACTAAGGGACGGAGGATGGGAAAGTGAGAAGGCAAGCCTCCAGGTCCAGTCAGTGCCCTTAACCACCAGGCCATGGTGGCCTCAGTATACTGAGTGTTAATCTAAGTTTCTGTGCATATCCTATCTTGCCCCCTTGTCTCCCTAGCTCCCCCCCTTATGGTTTCACTTACCCTGACTGAAAATAGTGCAATGAGATTTTGAGAGCACATTCTTAAAAACTTACAGTATATTGAAGTTCCATTTCAGTCTCTTTGCTAATAGGTCAAACTACCATAGGTACATATGTGTAGAAGAAAGCAAGTGGCATTGGTACTAGCCACAGTTTCATGCCTTTACTGGGATATTTAGAATGTAGCCCCTGAAGATAAGGGGGAACATGGAATCACTGACATAAAAACAGGTGTGGAATTGCTGTATCATAGGGTAGGTGTATATTTATACAAGGAACTGGTCAAGTTAAAAATATATAAATACAATTTTTTATAAAGAAAATTATTTCATTTACCTTGAATTTGACCAGAGAGGGAAAGTGAGGAAGCAAGCTTCCAGGTCCGGGACTCGAACCACAGTCGGCCATGTGGGAGTCCAGTGCCCCTAACTACCACGCCACCTCCTGACCCCATAAATACTATTATTTTTTGGGGGGAGAGGTTTTTGCTATAGGGTGTGTGCATTCGCCAGACTCGCCAGATGGACAGAGACAGAGAGAAAGCGAGAAATCACTCCCCAGGGAGAATGGCCATGCCGCGATCCCCTCTCCATTCTCTCAGGATCTTGGGCACGCACACACATGCCCAGCGTGAGTTTTAAGCCACCGGGTCCAGGATGCGAACTGCGGTAGACTACGTGGGAGTCCCGTGACATAACCATTATACTAACTGCTGCTCCCCATAAATACAATTTTTTTTTTACCATTTTTTTGAGAGGTTTTTTGTTCACTATAGGGCGTGTGCGCTGGCCAGACAGACAGAGAGAGACATAGAGACAGAAAACGAGAAATCACCCCCCAGGGGGGATGGTCACCCCGCAATCCCTTCAACATTTTCCTCTCGGGATCTTGGGCACGCACACACACGTGCCCGGTGTGAGTTTTAAGCCACTGGGTCTGGGACGCGAACCGTGACCGACTACATAGGAATCCAGCGACATAGCCATTCCCTAACTGCTGGTCCCATACATGTTTAGTTTTTAAGAAATGGCCAGTTTCCCTAAAGTGATTGTATGAGAGGTCTTTAAAAAGTAAATGGAAAATGCATATTAGGAAAGAATTACGGGTGAATTTCAAAAGTTTTTTGCATCACCACAAATGGAAATCCCACATTTGACCTAATGACAGGTCATAGTCAAAAGGTTACAATGCAAATGTATAGAATTATATCCAGACTGTGTGTCAAAGGTATATACAAAACAGATGGACTTCATGTTTACATTTGCATCCCATCCCAAGATGCATATGTACAAATACTACAAATCTGAGATACTTGTGGCTCCAAGCATTTTGGATAAGGGATACTGAACCCCATACCATTTTATGCCTTCATTAGCAATTTATGACAATTCTGGTTGCTTCACAACATCCTTTCCAACACTTGGTGTTGATGGGTTTCATTTTAACCATTCTGGTGGTTGTGGCATATTGTGAGTTTAATTTGTATTTCCCTGATAACTGATTCTGCTGAACACTTCCCTCCTTTGTAGTTACTGTTGCTGCACTTTCCTCCACCACCACCCCTTCAAACCTTTTGTTAGGGGCTTTTCTCATAGACTGGAATTTTTTGGCTCTGGGCTCCTGATTGTAAGAGTAGGTGATTAACATGTCTGTAAACTCAGGGATTTTTGACTTTGAGCTTCACTGTGGGTGTTGTTTGTTGGAGAATCCCATGTTGATTTCTTCAGTTTTTTCCTCTTACCACATTCTTCAAGGAAGGCTTGGCCAAATCCTTGCCTTATGGGTACAATTGTGTTTACCAGATCCAGGTGTAGGAGTGGGGTTTCAGTTTGGCCTGTATGCCTTCACATATAATATGCTCCTTAGTCCAATTGGGCCATGTAGCCAACCTCCTGCTTACTTGACACCATTGTTCTCTGCTTGGCCCTGGAGATGAGGATGAGATGAGGAATGATCTTCCCAGTACGGTATTGGAGAAAGGACACTATTAGAAATTTCTCCCCCAACCTCTCCTGTCATAGGTGCCCCCTCCTTCCATTTTAGACTGCCCTCTGACCTCCATGCCCACCCCAGACAAACCCTCTCCAGTCTCTTGGTGTTTCTCAGTTCTATCTAAATTGGGTATAGATCCCAGTTTGAACAGTATCAACTGCTACCTTGGGCACATTACTTAACCTTTCTAGACTCGTTTTCTCATCTGTAAAATGAAAATAAAAGTAGTATTCCTCCCATAGCATTTGCCGGGAAAATTAAATGAGTTACTAGAACCTGGCACATGATGAATGCTGCATTAAGTATTAAATTTGATTACAGTCCCATCAGTTTTCCTCCTATGTCATCTGCAGGGATGGGATTGGGGGAGGGAGCAGTATGTTATGTTAGGGTCAGCATCTTGTCAAGGACTGAAAGTTCTCGCTTCAACTAAGGGAAGTTGGTTCCTTTTTCTCCTGAGTTAGTCATAGTTTGGGAGGCATATATTGTTATCGTTAGTCTACAGTGTTCTTATTTCATTTTTACTTTTCCCATGCCCACTCCTGTTCATATACCTCTCACTGGCAACCATTTTCATGCATTTAATGTATATCCTTTTGTTTGCATGCATTCTTATTAAATGCATATTGATGTTTTATATGTATGTGTCTTTAATGTACACAAATGGGATGGCACTTTGTTATGT